ATTGGGGCCATTTTTACCTACCTGTCATATGGGGCCATTTTTACCGGGGCCATTTTTTCCAGGGCCATTATTTCCGGGGCCATTTTTTCCGGGGCCATTTTTTCCGGGGCCATTCTTACCGTACACCGGTAAAGTCCATTGGTCATTCACATTAAGTACTGTTGACTAAATATACCACACAAATTAAGTCACATACTATAGCTAGATATAGTAGAAAAGGTCAAGGCTCACCTCCATACCAAAAAAGAGACAAAATTACATTACATTACATTAGTACAGTATTAGTATTAGTATAGGCTTCCGGAGAGAGCGCTTGTGTACTGCTTGACATGTTCATGTTTCTTTTACTACTTCTATCTCATCCAACATTTTTTGGGGGCTTCAAAAGGTTTTAGGTGACACCCGACCATGTGCACTTTGCTCTTGTTGGAGACATTGAACTACCATGAAGCAAATCCTTCCACCACCCCTCATACTTAGTAGGCCCTAACCTACTAGCTTTGTGGACGACCTAGCCTAGCTACACCAGCTATGGCTCTACGAGTCGATGACGTACAGTACCGTACGACTGTCCAGTGGGCCAATGACAGATACCAGCACAGGCTTACCTGTACTGAAGTAATGTAAACTGATACACAACAGAAAAAACAGACCCAAAATGAATTGTCAAAACAAATTTTCATCTACCGTAATTATACTATTACAGTACTACTATTAGTAACACATTATAATCAGTACATTTGTGGATATTGTTGTTCATCCAGGTAAGTATAGTATTAATACAAGGAATTAAATAAATCGTTAAGTCCAGTAGAAAAGTAGAAACGATTTATCTAATTTCTTGTATTAATATTAAAATCAGTAGATCTAACTAGGCCTACAATTATCAAATTTAGTGAAATCAACTAGCTAGGCCTACTGAACCTACGTCATAGAACTTACACTTGACATCGCAGAATAAAAAATCTAGTTGAATAGTTTTGTTGGTTTGTCATACGGTAGAATCGGCTGTCACTCGTAACCTTGTATTATATGATCAGACGTGGTCGAGAAATTAATCCAGAACGTTGATTGGTTGTTGGCTCTGATCAAAGACTTACGATAGTTAACATCACTTGCATTGGAAAAGCATTTTGATGACATATGGCAACTTTGTGCTAGCGCAGTACTCACAATAACTGTGGTATTCCCATATATAGTCATGAAGTGATATGCCTGTATGGTCACGATGTGATGTCATCATTACCATATTTTAGGCATGTACTTGTTTTTGTCAAATAAAATTTGGACAGGGCTCTATTTTCAAGGGAATAGTAGATTGAGAAAATATATTTCTTTCCTATTAGCAGACGTAATCCATTTGTAGACCTTAAATTTGGACTGAAATTATTTTGAGGACGCACATTTAAAAAGCTGTATCAGTTAAAACAGTTTTTAAAACTTTATTCATACATTAACAATTTAATTATTTTAATTAAATGCTTTTTTTTTTTTTTTATAGATTTTAACACTGAAAATTAATCTTAAACCTACATTATAGAGTAGAACCCCTACAGGAGACACCTTTTAGTCCAAAAAGTGTACCTTTGTAGTATTGTTAAAAGATATATTTCTCTCACTTTCCTGCCAAAAAAAGTGTTCTATTTATAGGAAACACGTTATATTTTCATTGCGGATTTTTTGGGCTCAGTACAGACTCTAAACGTATGCATTTTTTGTTAGTTTTAAGACGTATGCGGATTTTATAAGTCCGCAATGACGATATAACGTGTTAGGAGACAAAGGAGGTATTCTACTGTATTCTACTATACATCAAATAATTTTATATTCTGTAAGTCAATTTTTTTTTTTTTAATGGTGTCTTACATGCTCATCACTACACTCTAACCTGATTGAAGGCACAGGTAAGTTATATTAAAGGCAAATTAACTTTCATTTATTTATTTATTTAACTTTCTTTATACTGGATAGCAAGTTCAATACAAAGGCACTGGTTTCCGTTGTGGTCCAGTTAAAAACATAACGATACAAAATAGATTGGAAAATTAAACAAAAGGACCCTTACAAACAATAGAGGAGAGACCAAAGAGCATTTCTACAGTTATATAAATTAAAATTTTAGAAATCCCTAATTATGTCACTAGGTAGTTGGTTTCAGTTCATGGATGTCTGATATTAAATGTCCATTTCCTGTGCATACCTTATTACTTTATAATTTAAGTTAATTCCTTTACATATTTTATTATTTATGTTAATTCCCTTCCAGATGTAATGCCTTACTATGTGTAATGTATGCGGATGACACCACTATTCTTTGTAACTCTTATGACCCACTCACTCTTCAATCTTAAATTAGATTCTTATAAAATCCGCATACGCTATAAAACTAAAAGAAAATGCATACTTTTGGAGTCCGTACTGAGCCCAAAAAATCCGCAATGAAAATATAACGTGTTTATTAAGACTTCTGTTAATTATATATTAAGTACTCCTGGCTGGGGAAGACTCAATGCTAGTTGGGATGAAAAATTACATATGATTTTCAAATGATTAAAAGGTTACCCTCCTCAATATCTAACATCAAATTTTATCTTTAACAATAGTACCCGTACTAAAGGAACATGTAGCCAACGTCATCTCAACTCAAGGAAAACAGACTTTTCTTTACCGGGCAACAAGAATGTGGAATGAACTTCCTAATAAATTAAAAGTTAACTTTCAAATATGTTGTTACATTCATTCCAAAACATAAATGTACAGTATTTCATTGCTCTTCTCTTGCTTGGTTTTAACTTTTTGTGTTTTTATATTGTGTATATGTTTTTGTCTTCTTGGATAAGAACTCTAAACTGTAGGTCCAGTGTACACAATTGGCTCGTGTGCACTTTAAAGAACCCAGTACATCATTCAAGAAGAGTAGGGGGTTACCCTGATGTACTGGTCCATTTCCAGTCCCCTGACCAGCCACAGAAGGAGCGTTTAAATCGTGGCCCATGTCAGGTATCCATCCTACCGGCAAATCCTACTTCCACACTATGTAAGCTAGATCATACACACTAGTTACGTAGGGACTTGATAAGAAGAAAATATATTTTTGTTATGTTAAACTGTACCACTTTTGAAAATCAGTGTAATCAGAGAAAGTTTGTTTGTTTTAGGTTTAAAAGAATACAATATAGAGTAAACCCCTGTAGGAGACACCTTTGGGACCAAACAAGTGTACCCTAATATGGGTATTTCCTGTAGTGTATATATTTCTTCCACTTTTCAGCCAATGAAGTTTCTCCTAGTAAGGGTGTCCCTAAGCAGGGTTCTACTATATCTTTGATACATCAAATAATTATATTTATATATGAATATTTCTTTTTGTTTTATAGTGTCTTACATGGGTCATCACTACGCTCTAACCTGATTTGAGGTACAGGTAAGTTATTAAGGAATTTTTTTTTTTTTACAGTAAGAAATATTAACATGGCATCATTCATTTGCTACTGCAGGAAACAAAGTTCCCCAAGGACAAAAGTAATGTGATTGTCTTAGCCTTCCTTTCTTTTGTTGTTTTTTTTTTTTTAGTAATTGTCTATTGATGGCTCAATACCTTACCACAACACTAGTACTTTGAAAAAAAAAAGAATTTTTTGTTTAATTTCATTTATTAAGCACTATTCACATAGCACTTTAACATCACAACAAGCAAAATAGCAAATCACCGAATGAACAAACAAAAGCACATCATAATGTGAAAAGTAGTATTATAAAATGGAAAACAGCCACGTTATTCTGCGGTAAAATCCAGTGATGTTGCATTTGTAAGTGATTTTTCAATTTGTTTTTAAATGAATCAAGATTAGGTCGAAGACAGATGACCAGGGGAAAATCATTCCATAATTTTGGTCCAAATTTGTGGAATTTGAAGTAATGTAACATTCCTAGAGGATCTGAGACCAATCCTACCAGGCTCATAATCTAATTTAGAACTTCCTTTACCTTTGCGCCCCCCTCCCCACCAGTTCCCCCATTCCAAGACTTCTAGATCTGTTACAAGACTACACTACACCTTAGGGTCCAAGAAAAGTGTCCCTTTAATACCTTCAGCATAAACCATATTTAGTATTTTTATATGGGGGTTGGCTGTAGTGTTAAAATATATTTCAATTGTTTTGTGGCTGAAAAAGTGTCCTCTTCATAGGGGTGTTCCAAAGGACAGGTTCTACTGTATTAATATTTTGTTTACATTTAGACAAACAAAGTAAAAACAAACATCATTTGAAAAAAAATAATCAATTCAATTCAATTCAATTTCAATTTTATTCAAAAACTTCAGAAACAGTGAGAAAAGAAAAATTCACCTGATATTAACACATTACTAAACTCATTAACATACATATGGAATCCAAATACTGTGCTAAGGTTCAATCAAATGTGGCAAAGACAAGCCAAACCAGTCACTGGTCGCAAAAAATCGAGTTTTTAGTTATTAGTACGTCAGACATGGTTAAAGAAATTAGAGCTATAAAATGGTAAAAGAATCATTTGAATCCGACATTGTCTTTGCCACAAATAGAAAAACATTTTTTATGTTTTATGTGTCATGGGTTGACTCAGTAAAGAATAAACTTAGATTTGAATGTTGTAGAACACTTAATATGCAACTGCACTTTATTTCTGACAATCAAACGGAAATAATAAACCAAGAGAATACAAAAACAAAAGAAACTCCTGTAACAACAGAGAAAAATGAGAACTTTAAACATCGCATTACAAGAATTACTAAAATTCAGTATTAAACTCAATAAACTCAAGCATCGATATTAGTCATCTTATTCAGACATGGTTTATAATCTTTGTTACAAATTATGATGACTTAAACAGTACAATCTTACTTAAGAGCATTGCTAGCAAGAAAACAAAATTAATATGGCGACTCTTCATAAACTAGCACTATCTCTAATTTAAAGATAGTATTCAACTTGTCATCATATTATAAATATATTGTACTGTATCACAGATTCTATTCCATCTTAACTTTTTTCTCTAGATAACATATAGAAAATCAATCGTTCATAACATTATATACAGTAGTTAACTAATGTTAGATCTCTAATATCCCAAGTAATAATTATAGTACAGTATTATAAAAAGGCATGAATTTGTAAGTATTATAGGTAGTACAGCATTAAATATAGTTTATCAATCAAATGTAACAATCAATATACCTGCGAAGCCCGCATAACTCAGTAGCTGGCTTCATCCACAATCTCATATATATTTACTCAGCCTCATTTTTTGTGGTCTTCGTCAGTACATATTTGACAAATTGGAGTTTTACAAACATTGCAATAAAATTCCAACTCTTTTTTATGTAGTGAACACATTGGTTCATGCCAGTTAGCTATCTTGGTGTACTGAAAAAATAAACATCATACTGTTACCCATATAATAACAATTATTTAATTAGTTGTTCTTATTATTCTATTGTTTTTTTAAGTTGTCAGGCCTTGCCTTTGTTGCATTTCCTCCATCTTTATTTGTTGTTTTATTGATGATGGAAAATAAAGATTGATTGATTGATATAATCTAAGCCTGCTTTTTAAAGGCTCAAGTTTGAAGCAGGAGGCAACCTAGTTCTTGAAAGTTTGGGATGCTTGTGTAATATTAGAAATGGATGGTTTGACATGGCCAGTCACAGTGGATCTTGATGTTGAATGTAGGTAAGAATGGCCCCGGAAAAAATGGCCCAGGAAATAATGGCCCCGGAAAAAATGGCCCCGGAAAAAATGGCCCCGGTAAAAATGGCCCTAAATGACAGTAGGTAAAAATGGCCCCAATGGAAAAATTTAGTAATAGAAATGGTATTTTTTTTTAATCTTTAAATATTTAAATACTGAAAATGGCAAGAATTGAATAAATAAATAAAAAATGGGCCCCAATTAGAAAATTCAATAAAACAAATAATTTTTAAATGCTGTAAACTACCCTATCAAAATAAACCATATGCATATTGGAAAACTACTTAGTTTAGCTCCTGTCTCAAGGAGTACCCTGCTGATTGATTAATTAATAGATCTTTTTTGTATGAGAGAAATTCACTTCTGTATACAGGTAAATGAAAATAACTTTACATGAAATGAAATAACTTTACATGTTATAAACAATGCAAATAAACAGTTCAGTTAAAGTATATGTGCATTTGAATCACAAGTTCATGTATGGCAAAAGGGAGAGGCCTACTTTCTCACAAACCATCAATATGTTCTTTCTAGGGTTACTTCAAAGAAGTATTCTTAAATATTTATTTTAGTAACTGAATAATTACGAATACAAAAATATAAGCAATTAATTTAGTTTGTGCGCATACAAAATTGCGTACTTATTTGTTTATTCCCCAACTAAATCCAAGTTCCTACTACTGGGTCAGAAACTATTGGTCGCCACAATTTAACTGAGATATAAGTCAGTACTCTATTTTTGTAAATATAGCAATTATGCTAAGAATTAAAATGGAGTGTAATTGTGAGGGTAAGGTAATTATGGTATGGTTAAATGGTATTTGGTAAATCCCACAAACCTTCCAAAAACACACTGTAGAAAACCAAACAATTAAATTGTGATTGACTCATGTGGTATATCAAAAATTAAATACATTCATAAGACCCTATTTTTTTTGTTAAAATGTTGACTTTTTTATAAAAAATACTTGCAAATATACCATAAACCTCCAAACATGCTGCGAACCTTATTCAAACCCTGTTAATATGATTGTAGGACTCTTAAAAATAATTGACGTTCATATCAATCCATTGTTTGTGGGGGTTTACTAGTACCCACAAACAATGGATTGTTTGTGGGGGTTTACTAATACCCAGACTGAATTTCTGAAAAATTGTGATTTTGCTTCCGTGAAACAATATTGTTTTATAATAATTAATGTAATAATAATAATAATAATAATAATAATAATAATAATAAGTAATAATAATAGTAATAATAATAGTAATAATAATAGTAATAATAATAGTAATAATAATAATAAATAATAATAATTATCATTATAATAATTTTATTCTATTGCTATTATTATTAAGTTGTTAATAATCATTATTAGTATTATTATAATTATTATTTTTTTAATTTACTAAGATGTTACTATTATTTAACTGCAAAAAAGGAAATCTAAATGGCAATTTAATTGATGTTTTATTTTAAAAAAAAATATTATTATTAATTTTTATTAAGTTATTTTTATTTTTTTAAGTGCAAAAAAGCAAAATAGAAATGGCAATTTACTTGATAAAAAAATGAATGAGAGCAGCACTTTTAAGACTAATAGAATAAAATTTATTCTCGAGCTTTCATCCACACAGTGCAATTTTATTTCTTGGTTTTTATAAATACTGTAGTTTATAGATTTGATATATTATTTATATTATTTATTTCACATCTGATTAGATGCGATTGCTTTCTCTTATGTATTGACTTTAACATGTTTTATGCTATTTCCCACAGTTTCTTATCATGGGTCTTTTGTTTTTTTAATTTTGTTTTGTTTATGATAGATTATTTCTGGCAGACTAGCCATAGTGCTTTATCCAACACATTTGCATACTCTGTTGTTATAGGACCTCCCCTATTATCTCTATTGTATATTATAGCTGTTTTTTATCTCATTTATACAGTCTCCTGAAGAAGTCCACTGTGTGGATGAAAGCTTGAGAACAAATTTTATTCTGTTAGTCTTAAAAATGCTGCTCTCATATATTATATTTATTTATTTTATCTTGTTGTACATAAGACTAACGCGGCTACTCTTTTTATTCATCATGAATTTACTTGATGTTAGTTTTTGAATTATTGAATTATTTCAGTTCAAAAATGCAAAAAAAAAGCAGTTTTTATACAGAATTTTAATATTGGGGGCCATTTTTACCTACTTGTCATTAGGGGCCATTTTTACCGGGGCCATTTTTCCGGGGCCATTTTTTCTGGGGCAATTATTTCCTGGGCCATTTTTTCCGGGGCCATTCTTACCGTACACCCTTGATGTTATATGCAGATACTGTAGCCCTACTAAAGATGGAAATTTGTTGTCATTGTGCTTTTTAAAGGCTTGCTGGCACAAGTTCGTATGATTTGTGTTCTGCATTCTATACTGTTAGATATTATAGTATTGATTATTTGATTGTTTAAACTATGCCAAAGAATGGTGTATGAATCTAAATTGTCACTTTGGCAGTAGTTACTATTATCATTACTCTCATGCTTGGCCAATTTTATGCCTACTATAATATAGTAGTTTGTTTTGCGTGTCTAGTTTGATTTTAGGAAATTCTTAAGCATGGAAATAAAAACCATAGGTTACTCCCTTTTTAATGAGAACACATCCTTTTATAAGCACACTAAGGTTGAAATCAATTTATTTTGAGAGAATCTGGGTGAGTTCCCATTCCTAGGAATCCTCCTAGACTATTAATTAGGTAATGTTTTGTCGAGTATTTACATAGGTATTATCACTATGCAATTTAAAATAGATAAAATGTAGTTGACAAAATACAAAGCATACATTCAGTTATTAGACACTTGCACATGACTGGAGCCAATTTTTTCAATAATTGATGAAACGCAGTGTGCTTGAATTTACTTCTGCTAATGCAAGCCTTCGAGGGAATTGAGAGACAATTGAAAATGCAAAATAATATCTTTTTTCCTTCTCATTCTCCTGAATCAGTCTAAGGAACTTTCCACAGCTGTTAAATAGCTGTACTTTTCCCATACTTGCTACAATAATGTTGTCCTCGTAATCAACACAGACTCGTGTTGGATTATTCACCATACCATTTTTATCCCCTCCACCAATAATAACCTTAATAAATTGACCATCAGAACCAAATAATTGCAATCTGTGATTATTAGTGTCAGCTACAATGAGATTTCCCTTTTTTGTGACTGCAACATCAGAAGGTCCATTCATTTGTCCTTCAAGACCACCTTTAGATCCAATGACCATCTCATTGTGATTGTACTCCATGTCGTATACCTTCACACAATGCACAGCTTGATCAGCAACATACACTAAGTTTAAGTCTTCATTCACATCAATACCAGATATTAAACAACTCTGGGTTGCAGTGCGTTTGGATTTTGTCGTACTACAAATGCTTTTGGATTTGATAACTCTACCATCTTTTTCACAAAATGTTATGTTGCTATTACCCCAGTCACAGAATATCAGGTTTTTGTTTTTTAATTCGCATATTCTTTGAACCTTTGATGTCTTTGGTAATGTTATTTTACTTATAAGAGCTCCTGACATTTTAAACTTAAATACTTCATATGTGTTACAAGCAACTAAAAAACAACCATTTCTAGATATCAAGACATCTTGGATACCTCTATCATTTTCAATGTCGTGTGTATATTTCATTGCACCTGTCAATTGACCAACATTTTCAATACATCGTACAATTCCGGCAGGTTCTACGATGATATTAATTGGTGATCCTTTTATTGAAGAATTATGAAACTTAACATCCAATGTAAAATTTTTACTTGAGAAACCTTCAACAATATATTTTCCATTAGATTTAACAATATTAACTGTTGGGCAGTTATCTTTTGTTGAGGAATATTGTCTTTCCCCTTTTGATATTGCCAGATCCTTTATATCTATTTCACATTTATATAGTTGAGTAATTTCAACACGAAAATGTTGATAACTTGTCACTATCAATGGATTTTTTGTTTCAATTTTAAAGATATTTTCATTTGGCTTTTCACTAACACTGCCTATTTCCTGTTTGTCTAGGTAATCCAGAATGATACATTTTTTACCAAAGAAGTAAACCTTTCCATCTTTAGGTTTTTTTTGTGGTAGGACAGCAATCTTGTCTTGAAGTTTTGTAATTGCCTCTTGACATGTTTTGAGGGCTGTTGCTTCTCCACCTTTCAATAGCTCTCTGATGTAAACTTGCTTTCCTTCAACATCTGATACCATTGATTTGAGTTCATCAATTTGAGAGTTACTTTTTTCTTTCTTTGTCTCATATATATTTTCCAACTTTCTTTCTAATGTCGTTGCTTTTGCTCTGACTAATTTTACAATTTCTTCCACAGTGTTGTTGATGTCTTTCATAATATCATTTCTGCTGTCACTAAGCTCATTGGCATTAACAGTACATTTGTCTATTGCATCTTCTGCCTGTTGCTTGTAATAATTAGCCCGAACCATTAAAGTATTTGCTGTTAATTGTAAATCATTGAATGCTTCAGATACTTTGATTGACTTATGCTGTCCTTTTTTTTCACTGTGATTTGTACTAGCACACTTTTGGCAAATTGGAGTTTTGCAATCTGTGCAATAAAATTCCAACTTTTTCTCATGCAGTCGGCATGAAGGCTTTTCCATTGCTTCTGCAGATGGTGGCCAGTTAGCATTGATTGGCTGTATTGTGTGGTTTTTACGTGCAAGAAATTTTTCATGAGTATTTTTGCAAGAAGTACACAAATACTGACTACAATCCTGACAGTAGAGGTCTGCTGTGTATTTACAACAACAACACTCAATGCTATCATTACCTCGACCCACACTTTCTGCTGTTACCACTTCAGTTGTATTTGGTGAGAGTTCTTGAAGCCCACCCTCAGGACCAGAATGCGTTTCAGTCATATTGTA